TCTAAGGCAGTAAACAGAAAAAAAAATTTATATTTTTCTTCAACGTTTATGCCTCTGGATGCTTGATGTGGTGAATATTTGCACTGAATGTCCACATTTAACCTTTCATCTAATTATTTAAATGCATGTCCTCTTCTTAGGTTATTACCATTATATGTAAAGGTGTATGTATATGCATGCATGTATATGCAGTACTCTGCATATGTATATGCAGTGGTCCTCCATTTTCCATGATTTTGCCTTCTGTGGTTTCAGTTACCTGTAGTCAACTATGGTCCAAAAATATTAAATGGAAAATTCCAGAAATAAACAATTCATAAATTTTACATTGCACACCATCCTAAGCAGTGTGATAAAATCTCATGCCATCTCACCCAGGACATGAATTATCCCTTTGTCCAGCAAATCTACCTCTTAGTCACTTAGTGGCTGTCTCAGTTATCAGATCAACTATTGCAGTATCACAGTACTTTTATTCAAGTAACCTTTATTTTATTTACTAATGGCCCCAAAGTGCAAAAGTGCTGGCAATTTGAATATGCCAAACAGAAGCTGTAAAGTGCTTCCTTTAAGTGAAAAGGTAAAAAAATCTAAACTTAAGGAAAGAAAAAAATCCTATGCTGAGGTTGCTAAGATCTATGGAAAGAACGAATCTTCTATATATGAAACTGTGAAGAAAAAGAAATTTGTGCTTAGCTGTAGCACCTTGAACGGCAAAAGTTACAGCCACAGTGCATAAGTACTTAGTTAAGATGGAAAAGGCATTAAATTTGTGTGTGTAAAGTATAAATAGAAATGTGTTCCAACTGACAGCAATCAGGTTCAGGACCATCCACAATTTCAGGCATCACTGGGGGTCTTGGAACGTATTCCCTATGAATAAACGGGGACTACTGTACATACGTACGTATGTATATACGTATGTTAGCTATGTGGAGTACAGCATAAGATGTCTTTACGTTTTCTAACGTCCCTTGGTACACTTGGGGGATTGGGTCCAGGACCATCCATACATACACAAATGCACTCATACTGGAGTCCTGCAGTCAGTCCTGCAAAACCCACATAAACAAAAAGTCAGCCCTCCATACACACAGCTTTCGAATGCCATAAATACTATATTTCCAATCTGCATTTGACTGGAAAAAAAAATCTGCTTATAAGTGGACCTATGTTGTTCAAGGGTCAACTGTAATCACAAAAATTGTTAGCTGTCTGGAATCACATTAAACCAG